TATACCTAAAATGTACCAATAAACTTAATAAAAAAAAATTTTAACGTAACTATACAGTGAAATGGAAAATGTCTGATCACAGAGATCAGATAGTGAGAAAGATGAGTCAAAACAGTCCTATGATAAAATAGCTTAATGCCTACAACTGAAATATCAAGTAGTAGTAATTTCTACATGATTTTTAGTTATAAAAGTAAGTAGAGAGGCTGAGGCAAGAGGACTGCCATGAGTTTGAGGCCAGCCTGAGCTACATAGTGAGTTCAAGGCTTGTCTGAAGTACATGGTGACACCCTGTTTCAAAAAAACTAAAAAGAAAAAAAAAGGAAATACAAAAAAGAATTAGCCAGAAATGTTGAAAATAATTGCTCCTGGGGAAGGGAAATAAAAAAGTCAGGCATGGTGAAACACACACCTATAATCCTAGCATGTGGGAGGCTGAGGCAGGAGCATATGGATCACTGCAAGTTCGGGGCCAGCCTGGGCTGCAAAGTAAATTCAAGACCAGCCTGAACTGCACAGCAAAACCCTGTCCTTGAAAAAGACAAAAAAAAAAGTCAGCCTAGGCCACATAGTGGGTTCAAGGCCAGCCTGAGCTAAATGGTAAAAACATGTCTCAAAAAAGAGATAATGAGAGGGTGAGGGAAAAAGTTAAGGGCTGCTATTTCCAAACAACTCTAACTTTGACATCTACAAGATACTTGTATGATTTTTTTTAATCGTCTATGTTCCACTGCTTTCTCTACACCAATGTTTAACTTTTGCAAGAAGTTTCTTAACTTTATCTTTCATTTGTTTGATTGAGCTTTTACTACTACTGCTAGCAATGAACAAAACAGCACAAGAGCATATATGTTTAAAAGTCAAAGGTACAAAAACATTTTTTCCTCCTAGATCAGAAATAAAACAAGAATGTCTACTATCAGTATTTCAACACTGTACTAGAGGATCTTGTTGGTGCAATAAGGCAAAAGAAAGAATTACAAAGTATACAGATTAAAAGGGAAAAAGTATCACAAAGATAGACCAGTGTAACCAAGTGGAGAATCCAGGGAAAAAACCCTCATGTATCTGGCAAAATGATCTTCTGATAAGGGTGCCAAGAATCCCAGATGGGAAAAAGTTAGGTCTTCAACAAATGATGCTGAGAAAACTGGACATTCACATGCAAAAGACTGAAGATAGGTCTTATCTCATAACATATACAAAACTAGCAAGATATATCATGTACAGCTACAAATTCTCTATGATGAAAGTAATTGCTATGTATATCCAAAATGTACCATTGGAAGAAAAAAAATACAAACTTCTGCTCCATGAAACACAATGTTAAGAGTATAAAAAAATAAAGACAGCTGGGTGTGGTGGCACACGCCTGTAATCACAGCGCTTGGGAGGCTGAGGCATGTGGAATCCCTGTGAGTTTGAGACCAGCCTGGGCTGCAAAGTGAGCTCAAGGCCAGCCTGAACTGCATAGTGAGACCCTGTCTTAAAAGGACCAAAAAAAAAAAACAAAAAACAAAAACAAAAACAAAAACAAACAAACAAAAAAAAAACAGGCAAAGGTGACAACAAAAACAAGCCAGACTAGGAGAAGCACTTAAGTGATGAGAGTTAGGTGTTTTTTTTTTTTTTAGATCTTGACTATGCAAGGAATTTTTAAAACTTGGTAAAAAAACAAATTGTAAAATGAGCAAAAGATCTGAACAGATACTTCAAAAAAATACAAAGATGGCAAATAAACACATAAAAGATATTCACTATTATTAAACATTAA